AATATCAAGATCGAAGCTAGATGCCGGCCTCCCAGGGTACATGGGCGGCCTGCTATTTTCCGATGCCCGTGCACACACGACCGTCCAGATGCGGATTCCGATGGATATAGCGGATGCGGTAGTTCCAAGGATAATCAGCAAGACCATGGCGGTATTGGTCGGAGCTAACGCCTCGAAATCGTCTGTTATCCAGGGCGGCCAGCTGTCCGGGGAGAGACTGCCTGATGGGGTGCCCATGGCTTTTATTATGGCCTCGCCGGGGTTGAAGGTGAACAACACAGTGCGGTCGGAACAGTCGACGATCTCGTTTTTGGTTGATGTGGCATTGGTGGTCTCGTCTGATATGTATGTCTCCTGGTACCCGGTACAGTAGGACATGGTGTATATGGAGAAGTAATCGGGGGCGCCTTGTCCACCAGCTCCTCCTGTGTGTAACTTGAAGAGGGCATCAGTGCTGTAGGGTGGAATTGGTAATATTGTTTACTTACGGTTAGAAGGTCTGCCTGCGGTAGAAACTGGCGTTGACTGCCGGCAAAGAGAGAGATAATGCCTAGCAAGAAGGCAGCGCAGGAGCCGATGCCAGGCAGGAAGATCTGGAGGCAGCCCATGGTAGTGTCGTGTCCGGTTGACTCTCTCTTAGGCTAGTATACTAGTGACTATAAGGGTGAATATGATCGCAGATCTCCCTCTGCTGGGTCAATAAAGCATCGACAAGTCTTTTCATGAGGCAAGAAACACGAGGTAAAGCACGAGTCATGCTTCAGAGTAAGGTGACACTGCAGGAAAAGAAGATCTTATACACCGTAGATAGCTGGTGTGTAGTCTTGCATACTATACTATAGACTATTATCCACTGCCGTCTTTGGCTCCCAGCCACCGGATTCTGGGAATGTTTAGCCATGCCTCTACCCTTGTTTCAGAGGACGAAAGCGCATCATCAGTGAGCTAAAACCTTGGTAAGTGCAGCCGTATACGGGTAGGCGCTGCGTAGAGTCTTCATTAAAGGGAGTGAAAGGTCTCCGGGTCCATACCAAGCCACGCAATTTGTAATTCTGCGTGATGAGGTTGATGGGCCTATGATCATTTATTCAGAAACGCATATTGCGTTTGATTCCGCTCTTAGTGCTGAATTGAGAGGTGATCAGCACTGGCTATATTTCGACTTGTCCCAAGTCCCGATTCAATGGTACATTAGTATTCCTTTTTTCAGTGGATGGGTCACAAGACCGTTAAAGAGAGTAGAAGGTTACTCCCGAAGCCAGCCGAGAAGCATGGAAAGCTTATCCTGGGGTAATTACCCGGGAGCTACATTCCCTGCACCACTGATTGGTATGCGAGAAGCACCCCAAGTGCCTGGAAACTTCATATAATCTCACGTTACACAGAAATTCTCCAGATGGAGCCCAAGTATGTTGTTACAGAGTGAGAAACAGGTTTCGACGATTCATAACGTCGTTTGTGTGGTCGGTTTAAACTTCCGAGTTGATAATGTTTTAGAGGTGGATTCCAGCAAAGCTGGTGACAGAGTTCTAGATAAACCGTACTTGGGGTTCATGCTGTTCGCTCAGTCGAGGCCATTTCTGAGACCATCTAGACAACCATTCTGGATTATGAGCGCATAGATGGCTTTGATAGTCAATGCAGAATTGGAGCGTTAGCCCCTAGGTCTTACATTCTTTGGTTTCTGTAAAACAGGTTTTCAGAGTTCGGATGTGATTATAACTATGTGATCTAGTCTATTTGTGTCTATCTTAAGTATATATCTACAGCAAAGCCCAGGATTAAAACTATTTACCTACGCCTCCTTGATATCGTCTTCAACAGGCGGCATCAAATCCATCACAGGGGCCAATTTACTCTTCTGCCGAAGACGGCCACCAAAGAGGTAGAACATTAACGGGATGGGAATCATCACCACGGCAATGCAACCAAGCAGTGTACCGGCCCATTGAATGCCCAAATTGTTGAACATTTGTCGCGTGAAGAGAGGAAAGACGGCACCCACCATGGATCGCATCATGGTATTGGCCGCAAACGCAGATGCCGCACTGCTTCGTTAGCATGTAATCCAAGGGTCGTCAGATAGGGAGGTATAATGATGTACTCACAATTTTGAGTATGTGTCCAGAATATAGTTGAAGCACTGCATGAAGATGGAAGTCAAGCCAAAGCCGACAGCCACACCAGCAGCCGTGGGTGCCATCCAATGAATGTTACTGTTCCATCCAGTCCAACCGAACCTGTATCGCTTATCAGTATTTCCACCGGGTCCGACGTCTTACATCGTATGGGGATAATCATACCAGAACAGCCCACCAGCAAACACAGCACCACCAACGATGCAAGGGGGCAGACGCCATTCGGGTACCGCGACGTAATTGTTAGCGGCCAACTTCCGCGAATATTGTCCCGACAAAGACAGAACAAATGTGCTGCCCGCGATCTCACCGATGATGAGCCCAATGAAGGGCAACCCTGCAGTACCACCGGTCATGCCATAAGTACCTTCGAAGATGATAGGATAAGCTTCCAGCAGCGCATAGGCCAATCCATAGATGAAGGACATGTAGAGCGTGAGCAGAAACGCAATGGGTTCAGTGAACAGAATGAGGAACGGACGCGCCAGGTTCTTGGTAACCAATTCTTTAAAATCAATCTCCAGCTCGTCCTGGCGAGCGTGAATGCCCCAGTTCCGTGTCTGGCGTCGGAGAATGGCTGCCTTTTGAACCAGGATGATTGGGGCATAGGTCTCTGTAGTGAAGAACACTATCAATGCGAGACAGAAGAACCCAACTATGGCAGGGACGTACAGCGTCCATCGCCAGCCGAGATAGCTTGACGCGGTGTATCCACCAATAAATGGGGCTGTGAAAGGACCGGTGAACACCGACATAGTGTACATGGCAATAGCGACACCTCGTTGGTGGTTGTTGAACACGTCAGACAGGCTAGCAGGCACCAGAGCAATGATACTGGCCGCACAGAAACCCGCAAAGAAACGGCACAGCATCAGGGTTTGGGTATCCTTGGCGGTGGCAGTGGCTATCATGAAGAGGTCGAAGCCGAACATCCCGAGCAACAACGGCCATCGCCGGCCAAGCAACTCGGAACAAGGTGCCCACACTGTTGGGCCGGCCGAAAACCCTAGGACATACAGAGTCGTTCCAAGAGCCGCGACCTCTTCACCAAAACCGAACTCTTTCTCAGCACCTGAAGCCGCGGTTGCAAACACCGCACTGCCGTAAGCGGTCACTAGGGCACAGGAGGTGAGAAGTGATCCAAGCATGACCCTATATGGCATCAGCAACCGTCAAGCTATATACAAGTCCGGCAGGTGAGCTGTGTTGCATTACCTCTTCTTCATCGGCCAGTTGTGGGGATGCATCGGATCATCCGCGCCTTCGAACTCGACCACATATGCTTCGGAGTCCGGTAGAGGCGGGGGATACGGCTTGCCTGCCCCAATAGGCAACCATTGATCTTGCGGTAAGCGACTTCCTCGAGATCCAACAGTCAGCTGTTGTTGGAGACGATAGGTGTTGATTCGCTCGAGCTCGATACTGTCATCGCCGGGTGGTCCGCCCCGCGAGTAGCGGCGACGGGATAGGGAGACACCGTCCGCTATGGACGAGTCGTCGTCTCCGGTTCGGTCTGCATCATGGAGTCGACCCATGACCACGAATCACCTTCTACACTTTGGAGGGTGGGCAAACCGAGAGGCTTGAAATGGTCAAAGAATGGGGTCAGCTAGCGAACACGGGGTTCATACATGGTACTAATATTAAATAAATATGATTATGGGCTCGTTGGCCCCAGAAAAGCCCTGCAAATTTTCGCTGCTCATTTTTCTTTCTTTCACCCAGCTTTGGGCGGAAACCAAATGCTTCAGTGGGTCATCAAGGAAGAGCATCGACCACTCAGCCCGAAGCGTTAGATCCACCGAGTCGGTGGATAGAGGATTCCCTGGGGCTGTCCCGGATAAGACGGAGCAGCCATGGCGCTATGCATATACGAACTGGTATAAGCCTTGATTGCGGACCATCAGATCGGCTAGGTAGCTATCAAACTGTGCATGCATGGGTTATAGATGGTAGTATTCTGTGCCCGCCCGGGAAGTAAAATCAGGCAACTTAAAATTCGGGCAGTGGCGTAGCCGAGAGAAGTGGTCGGGAAGTCAAACCGGGTCTCCAAGCCATAGATTAGGCTCTCCAGAGTTCGGACGCATATAATATGGCGTTATCGAACATTCCCCATCGTCGGGGACTAGTCCTATTGTACCGACTAGGAGAGCCGGGCCCAGCCCGAGACTTCTCGTCTGGATGGTTTCCGTCGCAGAAAAAAAGATATCGGTGTGGAGGTAGGTATGAAAGACCAAGCCCAACCCATGTTTGCATTCTCGATAACTGTCTAGCAGTTAGCTATACTTCTGGATCATTGTCAGTATAGAGATCATCTGATGCCGACGTCAGACGGTCAATGTCAATTGGAGTGTTGGGTTGAAATTACGACAAGATTGATTGTTGTTGCGATGCCGGCCGGCAAAACATAAAAGGGGGAAGTGCGGAACGAGTTCCGCTTCCGACCGGCAATCGGCATCGCACTTATTGTTCAAGTTGGAATATAATGGCACGGAGACCAACTGGACAGCTTTTCTTGTCCACTGCCTCTCAAGTAGGCCACATTGCTGGTGGAACATGAAGTCCCAAGTTGCGCACTCTGAGAAAAAAAGAAATGCAATGAAATCACAAGCCCTCGTTGATTTGTGGGGGTTTTGATCACTAATTAACTTAGTTAACAACTAACAAAAATTAACTGGTAGTTAACTTGGTTGACTGGTTGACTCCAATCATGGCATCAGATGAAGAATGGTCGAACATGCGATTGGAAAGATGATGAGGGTTGTAGGAACATGTCTGTGCGAATGATATGATAGGGAGATAAAAGACAAGACAAGTATTCTATTACCCCGCGGGGAATCCCAACCCCTCACCGGCCAGGAAATCAGATTCCGATCCATCCAGACAACAACAATAACCCGCCGGGTAATGATCCCAGGTCTTCTTTATTTTATCTGTTGCTGTTCTCCCCCGCATCTTTGGTGGTCCCGAATAAAGGAATAAAGAGTCTAGATCATCTAAGTGTGCCAATATGATTACTGGTCTCCATCACGTCAACATCCTCGTCCCGGAAGGCACCCTCGACCGGGCGGAGGAGTTCTACACAAACACCCTGGGTCTGCCATCAGCTCCTGTTCCCCATCTACAGAAAGGAACCCTTCTATGGTAGGCCATTGATGATGTCGCTTTGTAAGATGGGCCAGTCGTGGTTAATCTGCCGTAGGTTCAACCTCACGCCGGATGGCAGCCAGCAGATTCATGTAGCCTTTGGCTCCAACAGCGATTTGCATTCCGACCGTCACGCTTGCCTGAGAGTCGGGTCTCCGGACCATCTGTTGACCCTGCAGCAGCGCATCTGGGAACATCATCAGAGAGGGGGCGATGCTGCTCCCTTGCACGCTGATAAGCCGGGGGAGCAAAACTCGGGTAGGTTAATCTGCTCGCTCTTCGTTCTCTTCTAGATTTGGTGTTTCCCTGGCGGATGCAGCTCTATCCTGCTGTATCGTTCGAGTTGGTTTTATCTAATGACCCGCTGACCTTGATTTTTCTCAATGTAGGTGCCCAGGGCATCGAATATCCAAGTCGGTTTTTTGCCAGAGACTTTGCGGGTAACCGGCTGGAATTTACCCTATGACACGAATAACTGAGATAAACCCTTCTATTTGTTAGCAACATGATGATGAGTGAAAGATGGAGTTTCAATGGAACAATGAGCGTGCATCTCCAGAGTCTTGCAGTTGGCCTCTTCACCGTACGCCCATGTAGACTCCTCGACTCGATATCTGTGTGGGTAGCCTACTGTCGGCTATCCAGAGATCCGATGAACGAATGCAAGACGAACTTTAGCCCAAGCGATATATCGATTTGCCTCCCAGTCAAGGCAAGGTCATGGCGGTGATACATCGAAGATGTGTACTTCATCACGATACGATGGTCTAAAATATTGCTCCGCGCCTGGTGAAGAACACACCCATTCGTCTCTCTCGTAAGGGGATGATGGATCGAGCGTAGTGGAAGGATGGTCTAAAAGGATTGGGGAATTGAGATTAATCCGGAAACCTTTCTGATGAACTAGTACACCGCACGGGGGTCGACCAGAGTTGCTTTATATGTTAGCAGGTCTTCTCCGGAAGAAGATTTATCAATGTTAGTCGTAGCTCCGCAGTACTATGATTCGAGTTTCCGGCGTTGACGCCGCCCCTCGAGGGATCTACAGTAGCAAGACTTGGTAGGTGCAACGGACTACATTCTTATTGTTATTGGGCTCCCTGTCACTGTCACTGCCGACGGTGGAGCCCTCGCTAAGGGTAAAGCGGGTACCGTACGTGAGCAACATCCTTGCGCTATTGCGCCATGGCCGCTACACACTACAAGCCCATCCCCACAAAGAGGGTCCGTGTGTCGATGAGTCGATGCAGTTTATCTATTGCCAGGTACCCAGAGGGGCACGAGCAAAGTTCTTCGAGCTGCCACTACAGAGACGGCGAAAGAAAAGGCACTCGAACCAGCCATGCGTGCTTCCTCCGAGCGATCCTCCACCAATGCCATGGCCAGAGACGATTCTGGCACAACACCGCCCACACCGCACGAGGAGCAGCCCTTGCTGCGTCCCGATGCTGAAGCCCTCTGGAAGCCTCCAGTAGGCTTTGTCTGGATTCAACTAGGTTGGTTGTTGCTTGATCCATGAAATGAGAGGCTAACACACTGCCAGCCATCATGTCGAATGTATTCCTGTCGGGTTTCGACGGCACCATCACTGCCTCAACCTATGCTGTGATCAGCTCCGAATTCAATGCAGCCAACACCGCCTCGTGGCTCACAACCTCCTACCTGATTACCAGTACCGCATTCCAGCCACTATATGGTCGCTTCTCAGACATTTTCGGACGCCGGACCTCCTTCTTTACAGCAACAATAACCTTCATGATCGGTTGCCTGGGTTGTGGGATTGCTAAGGATATCGTCACTCTGAATCTGATGAGAGCGCTAACTGGCATTGGCGGTGGAGGCTTGATGACAATGGGTATGCACTTGCAAATCTTTTCATTCTTGCTTGTCAACCCCCCGGATGGGAGGCTAATGTTGTTCAGCTACTATAATCAACTCGGATCTCATTCCTTTCCGCCGTCGCGGAATGTATCAAGCCGTACAGAACGTCCTGCATGGATTCGGCTCCATCTGTGGCGCATCGTTCGGAGGAACCATTGTCGATTCAGTTGGATGGCGCTGGTGCTTTCTGCTACAAGTACCGGTCGGGTTTTTAGCTCTGGTCACTGGTCATCTTGTTTTGAACCTTCCAACGCAGGACAAGTTTGCCAGCGAAGGCAGAAGTTTTCGGACAATCTGGAAATACGTCGATTTATCTGGCGCTTGTGCTCTAATTGTTGGTCTTTCAACGCAGTTGGTCGGTCTTAGCTTGGGTGGAAACGAGCTCCCCTGGTCCAACGTGTGGGTGATCTTGTCATTTGTGGCAAGTTTAGTGTCACTGGGCCTTTTCGTACTCATTGAGGCGAGGACAACTGCAATTCCATTGATTCCCCCTCGAATGTTGAAAGGCGTTTTGCCTGTTGCTACGCAGATTGCCAATGTCTGTGTGGGAATGGCTGCTTATGCGGTGAGTGACCCTCTTATCAGATACCCCGGTGCGCTGCTGACTGCCAAAGTTCCTTTTCACGCTTCCGTTGCTGTTTCAGGTGATTCTTTTGGATTCTCCTTCTAAAGCTGGAGCTCGACTTGCTGTACCATCTCTGGCTACCCCGATTGGTGGTGTGATCTCTGGCTACGTGATGTCACGCTGGGGTAAACTGGCCTACCTGGTCCGTACAGGCTCGTTTCTCATGTGCATTGGCAACATATTTGTGATGCTTCTTCAGTTCAACGACGCAGAGTGGAAGTACTACGTGGCCATGATCCCCGCCAGTCTTGGCCAAGGCATCACTTACCCAGGCATTTTGTTCACTTTTCTTGCCGCATTCGACCACGCCGGTATGGGCACCTTGCCGCCACTTCCTTTTCCTTTGACAGAGGGAAGCTTCTGAATAAATAGTTAAACTGACTAATTTTGCAAGACCACGCCGTTTCAGCGTCCACCGTCTATCTGGTCCGTTCGATGGGTACGGTGTGGGGCGTCGCCATTACGTCCACTATCATCCAGAACACCTTGCGCTCAGGCCTCGCTGAGGCCTTGAGTGGAATACCTGACAAATGGAAAGTAACTCTCCTCCCTGTGGATTTACTAATATCCTGAAACAATGGCTGATCAGTATTATGCTACTCGCACAGGTTATCGACGACATCAGACATTCAGTGTCTGCCATCCATAGTCTGCCGCCAGAGATCCAGCTGGCGGCGCGGATGGTCTACTACCGGGGCATACGACTGTCGTTCTTGGCGTCAGCGTGTTTTGGATTCGTTGCTGCTACAGCGGCACTCTTCACTCGCGGAAAGGGCCTTCATCGCTCCAGCGAGGCGTAGATCACGCGTACGTCGCACACTAGCTCGCTTAAAAATACAGACCGTTTGGAACGCGGACCGTCCAGTACCTGGATGAGATGCGGGGCCGAAGTGGCGACTCTCGGGGAAGGTAGGTCTGGTGGACGAATGACCGCCAGCTTGAAGTTGGGGGACGCGGCTTCGCAAACTTAGAACTAGACAGATGTCAATTAGCTCACGAGAGAAGGGGTCAGGAGCTTCTTGTTTGAGACCACCCATACGGGATGGTCTTTTTGGACGTACCAGATAGCTGACTGGTTATGAAGGGGACGTCCAATCACAGAAAAAGCAGACTTGAATAAATACACTCTTTTTTGGATTCCAGTGCAATCATGCCCTTTAATTATCCGCTTCGGCTTGGGTTCTAGATGTTCAATCTATCCCATGCGCCCAGCAGGATCGGTTCCGCAATGCGGAGAAAGCCCCGTCTACCGAGGAAAGCTACTCTGGGGCAGCTCCCATTTCATGGATTACCGCAGTGAAACACCAAAGCCATAAACGCCAAATTCTCTCTGCCGGGATATTGCGGGGAAGCCACCCTCCTGACAGCGCTGGCGGCGAGTCTGGAGATATAGGGCAAGCTCCACGACGCAATAGCATGGTTAGCCGCATTTTCCCCCCGCACGATCGTCGACGATCACCTCCAGTTCATGAGCAATTCCGCCTTAGTTCCGCTATAATGGATGTCTCTAACCTTAATCTGGGGATGGTCTTGCTTTTACTCCCTTTTGGTTGGACGGGATGTGATAACAGGTCTCGGAATTCGATAAGCGTTCCGGGATATCTTGGGTATCAGTCATCAGTCATCCGTATCGGGCCTGGATGAATAAGTTGATTCAAGGAAAATCAGTCTCCACCGCTTTGATCTTATCGACCTGGGATGCCTATCGTAATCGGCGTTTACATCTGTCAAGGTACCTTCTGGGGACGCGGAGCTAGGTCCATCATCGTAGGAAGGATTCATAAGATGGATGTTCCTCCATTTGAAGCATATTGTTTCCGCAGTGCCTCATCACACGGCAGTACAACATAAGAGGTCATGGATTCGGACAATACCAAGGTCTCCCCCCTCAAACCCGGGTATGCCGCATCGGCAGACCTCGAAGTCGACATGGACAAGGGGCAGGTTGCCCTTACGGGCATCCCGGACATGCACCTGAAGCGAAATTTCAGCATAGTCAGTATAATTGCCCTGGGGTACAACAATACGAATAGCTGGGTGGCCATAGCCACGAGCTTTGCTATCGCAATTCAGTCGGGCGGCGCAGTCTCCCTACTGTATGGCATTCTACTGGTTACTGCTGCCATGTTCTGTACGGGGGTGACCTTGGCAGAATTGGCCAGCGTGTACCCCACTGCTGGTGGCCAGTACCATTTTACTTCCATCCTGGCATCTAAGCGATGGAGCCGTGGCCTGTCTTACTTCAGTGGCATGGCTGCAGTGTTTGCATGGGTTACCCTTGGGGCCTCTATTGCGCTGGCCGGAACAGAGGCGCTCATGGCTATTGTCATCCGATGGCAGCCCTCATATGAAGCCCAAAGCTGGCACTATTTCCTAGTATACCAACTGCTGAACGCAGTCATGGTCACCTACAACATCTTCCTCACCAACAAGACTCTCTGGGTCTACAACCTAGGCTGTTAGTTAGCTCCCTTCCAATTCGCAGGAGACAATACTAATACACTGCTTCTCCTCTTGCAGTCATCCTGTCCATTTCAACTTTCCTATCTATTATCATAACCTGCCCGGTACGCTCTTCCGTACATATCAACACCTCGAACACATGGAGTCAGTTCGTCAACGGTTCAGGCGGCTGGCCGGACGGCGTCTCCTTCTTGACAGGACTCTCAACGCCTCAGTTCATGTTTTCCGGACTCGACGCCGCACTCCACCTTGCAGAGGAATGTCTCGAGCCGGCACGCATCGTACCAAAGGCGTTGCTTGCCACAGTGACAGTGGGGCTTTTGACGGGTTTCCCCTTTGCCATCGCCATCCTATACAGCTATGACAACATCGAAGCATCTCTAACCACCTCAACGGGGTACGTATACCACCAGTCCTGAATAAGAAGATTTACTTACCAGAAACCGACAGATTTCCAATCTACTTCATCTGGGAAAAAGCCACTCACTCCCCGACAGCTGCGACAGTCTTCATGGCTGCACTGTTTGTTGTCTCCTTCGTAGCACTCAACGCAGTCCATCAGACTGCCTCTCGACTTACATGGTCCTTTGCCCGCGATGACGCTCTATTCTTTTCCTCTTTTCTCTCCTCTATACACCCTACGCTTGGAGTCCCCGTTTGGGCCATAATCCTTGATGGTGCGGCAGTGCTTCTGGTCGGGATCGTCTATGTCTGCTCAACAACAGGTAAGCCTAAGCGTTTACCCCGACGATGATCCTCTACATAGGGTCTAACATATAAATAATAGCATTCAACGCCTTTATCAGCACCACTGTCGTGGTAGCGCAAATCTCCTACGCCATCCCAGCAATTCTTCTCCTCGTTAACGGGCGGAATCCGCATTACCTTCCTCCAGATCGCCCATTCAAAGTTCCTAATGTGCTAGGCTACGTTTGTAACGTTATCTGCGTTATCTGGGCTTTTATCCTGACGATCTTCTTTTGCTTTCCGACGGAATTCCCCGTTACCGGAAGTAATATGAGTATGTGTTTCTTCATCTTTCCTACTATCTATCTCCTTTGTGATGAGAAGGATGCTAAACTAACACTTACAACCTGTTCAGACTACGCTTCAGTCGTGCTAGTCGTCATGTTAATCCTAGGGGTAGGGAACTGGTTTGCTTATGCGAAAAGACATTATCACGGGCCACGCTTGGATATCTAGTTTACTATCGTGTACTTGATTTTACTGATGATTGATGAGACACAACAATTGCATTGATTTTTGTTCACTCTGGAGTACAATAGTAAACAGTAGTTTGTCTTCGTAACCAAATGATTTCAGAGCCGATTCAGAATTATACAAACTCATCTATACTTCACTTCAATGTCTCTCGCAACTCCCACTATTAAATATCTACTTGGAATTTCAAAGATTAATGGTAGCGACATACACCCCGTCGGAACGATTCCGAGCCCCAACCGTCCGGTAAGTGGGGAGGAGAGATCAGTGGATGGGTTTTGATGATTCGTTGGATGGAACTTCCCGGCCGACTTGATCCAATCGACTCTGATCAGATAAGTAGATAACGGTTTAAATCATCGTGCTGTTTACAATTGCCGTGAGCACGGGGTATTTATCATCGCTTATCGGTCTCCAGGTGGAGAGGACTAAAGAATTAATGGGAGTGGCTAGATGTGCTCACAGACTCCTACCACAGGTGCATTTTATTACTATTTTTGGACTGGCACAACTGCGGGCATAGTTTCCTGAATTGGTAGTCTTGATACCTACCGAATTGCTGTCCTGATATGGGCGCCGCTGCTTTCGTGGTGGTACTACTAATACTAGCCTTTATCGATAGTATAAACCTTACAGAGTAATCACATGTGACCGATAATATCAACAACCAGGTTGAATAATTTCTATACTAGTATCTTGTTAAGCGTTATGAAAAATAATCAATTTAGTAGCAATGTATGTTTCAAGACTGTAAATAACTTTTATCGCCTATTAACTACTACCTCTGCATCGCACCCTCCACGCAGCACCTCGGGCTCCTCTCCTATAGACTAGATATCAACACCGACATTGCACTTAGTATTGCAAGATCAACCCATTTCACATACTACTAAGAGTGTCAACAACACAAATACGTGGTCTGATTCCTTCCTGTTTCAAGAATCTCTTATAGAAGTTTATCCTGACTACCTTCGTTTTCTACCTCTTGAATTCAGGATGGGTTTCCCCACCGTTTCCACTACAAGGGTGCTAACAGTCATTATGGCCTCCCTATTCATGACAAATGATGCTAATATTAAGTCTCTACCTATAAAAATACAGTGCTCATCTCTTCGAAAGTTAAGGCCTGAGCCCCTTAACTAGTCACATCCAACTAAAGCAGCTAGATAGATTACTAGCAGACAACCAGGATCATAACTGGCCCATATGACCGAAATGCATCACTATCTCCGCATTACCCCTCCGGATAAGAATCCTCCATCCTTATCAGGTGAAGGAAACATTTGCCATTGGGAAGCTAAACCGATATGCAGCATTGATAACTCATTATGCAAGTCCACAACTCAGGCCTTGTGCAGATTGGCTTGGACTACACTCTACATCTCTTGGCTCAGATGGCGTATAATAATGGGATCATTCTCGGTTCGTTGGTGGCTAATTTACACTAGGAATCGCACGATATGAGAGACACCATGGATTACGAGACGAAAAACGACGATGGCGATAAGACGTATTCCGGATTACATCCGTCGATGTCCGTTGAAAAAGGTCAAGTTGATCATGGAGAGACAACAAATGGTGGTCTCCATCGCACGCTCAGTCCACGTATGATCCATGTATGTACTGTATCACCAACTGTTCCATTGCAGAGAATCCCATCAGAGAAAGCGAGTATCATGACTAACAAACAAAGGTCATCTCTCTCGGGTCCAGCATTGGCAGTGGTCTCTTCATCACCACGGGTAAATCCCTAGCCCAAGGAGGTGGTTTGTGTCGGCGTATGGGCAAATCTGCAAACCTTGACGGAGATGACGATTGCTTTCCCGACATCAGGTAATTATATCGATTATGCGGATCGGTGGGTTGATCCAGCATTGGCCTTTGGGGCTGGATTTGCGGAATGGCTTGGTGAGTTGGCCAGCCGTGGCTCTTTACCTTGTTACGAATCCAGATCTCTTACGACAGAGCTGACGAGCGTCACAACGCTACAGGGTGGACGTCGGTATTTGCATCCGAAGCCATGTTTGTAGTTACCCTGGTGAATTATTGGGCGGATGGGGTTGTGCCCGAGGCTGCTTTGCGTGAGTCTGCCACATGCTTTTGGCCTTTTTCTTCTGGAAAGACCGGCAATCGGCTTACCATAAGTAGTTACCATTTTCCTGGTACTTTGCCTTGGCGTGTTCCTCTTGCCAACCACCATCTTCGGATGGCTGGAATACATTGGATCCCTGGTTAAGATGTTCTTATTCATTTTCGTTACAGCCATCTCTCTAGCCGTTATCGCAGGCGCCGGTCCGTCCGGATATGTTCGACATGGAAGCACCTGGACTGATTTGCCTATGTTCAAAAATGGCTTTGGGGTGACTGGCTACCCCTCCCAGATAAATATGGTCTTCGTGTTGAACTGACTCAACTATGCAGGGTTTCTCCACCGCTGCATTACTTGCCATCTGGGCCGTGGGAGACCAAGTCTTCATTGGCGTGATGGCCGGCGAGGCCGAATCTCCCCACTATTCCATGGCACGCTCGGCCAATTTTGTTCCTTGGCGCGTGGGGATTTTCTACCTTGTCTCGGTGGTGCTAATCTCACTTGTAGTGGACTCTGATGATTCCCGGTTAATGAACGGCTCAAGCGTGGTCTCCTCGCCTTTCGTCATAGTTGCCCAAGATGCAGGTATCTCGGGGGTCCCGGACCTGATTAATGCCTGCATAATACTCGGCATTCTTGCTCTTTCTCTAGAGTGTATATACCTCCCATCACGAATCTTACGCACTATGTCACTGCAGGGACTGTTGCCTGTCTTCATTGCGAGAGTCGACAAAATAGGCCGTCCGAGATGGGCGCTCACATTCACGGCCGTTGCAGGTACGGTTTTGACATATCTGAGCTTGAGCGGTATGGATGACCATAACCACAAATCTTTACCCCTACTGTCTTTGAAGCTGATTGATAATCCCTGCAGCCGACGGCACCGAGGTCCTGAACTGGTTCATCTCGATCACCAGCGCATCCTTCTTCACCAACTGGGCGATCATCGCCTTTTCCTCCTTCCGCTTCCGGGCGGCGATTAGAGCGCAGAGAAGCCAATTGTTTGAAACCGCTTATGCATGGCGGTCTCTTTATTGGCCTCTGGCGCCAGTCATTAGTCTTTTAGTTTCGGCGTTGCTACTAGTTTGCCTTCTTTACACCAGCATCAAGCCAGTAGTGAGTCTCACTTCCTTGGAACCCTTATCAGGGCGAAGGCCAATGCTATACATTCTGAGCCCACGGCCCCAGCATATTGCTGATCACGTTCACTAGGGTGGGGGTGCTTTTACAGCATATAACTTCTTTTCAGCGACGATTGGTCTGATCGTTATTATGGTGTTCACCATTGGTTACAAGATTGTGCATAAAACGCCATGGAGGGATTCAGCAACTGCAGATCTTATCACGGGGCATCGGGAGCTGACTGCTGCGGAGTTGCGGTTTCTGGATGCATATTACGAGCGACCGCTGTGGTGGAGATTCGGGACATATCTAAGAATATGTTGAACAAGTAACCAGTCTAGAGGGCTTGGAGAAGTGAGTGATCTAGAATGATGAGATCATGCTCGGTGATGGGGGTTAGGGGACAGTAGGCTCGGCGATTTGACCAATCAGTTGTGCAGGACTCTCGTCCAACGCCGACGCCGAGGATGTATGAGTGGTCAAGTACAATCTCAAGACATCAACCTTGTTTCCACCAGTATGATATTGGGAATTCTCTCGAAGTAAAGATACGTTATCATCTTTGTCGTACATTCCAGATCATGTATTGCGGCGTCAAGTAGAATGTTTACCCCGCATCGTCTTATCGCATCTTATGAGTATCTCCAAATGCCAAGGCAGATCAGACCAGACAATGAACTACCTATATGAGCAGTCAAGTAAGCCATTAACTTGAGGGTGTATTCTAAGTCAAACCACAGAGCATACCCATCCTCTCATTCAAGATAGAGACAATCAGTCATGTTCTTAAGCCACTTCAGTACCAGCGTAGCCTTAGTGCTACTGTTCCTGGTATGGCTCCTAAGAAAGAAGAGGGAAGTTCAGAAGCCTTCACAAGCAGAGAAGATGACCACCAGCTCCTCTTTGACATCTACATCTCCCATCGAGCCCCTCAACGACTTCCAATGGGACAAAGCCGAGCCTCTAATCCTCCGACCTTTCAAACCTCGCTACCACATCACAATGGGCAAGTTAACCCACTCTATCCTCAAACTATCACCAACCCTAACCCAAACATCTCACCAAAACATATAGCATACGCTACATCTAACTAACAAACAAAAAACAGGCATCGAGCGAGCAACCCTCTCCGAACTGATCCAAATCGACAAACACTACCTCTCCCGCATCACACTTCGCACGAAACTAATCCAAGACAAACGAGCCTCCGTCCTCGGCGCCAGTCCCCGTTCCATCCCAGCCGTCAAAGAACTATACTCTTTCCTTGTAAATGACTACCTGCCTCGACGGTACAGCACTATCTTTCAACGTGTCTCTACTACCACTAGCACTTCAGCATCAGCACCCACCACCATGCTAAGAAACACAGTAACCGGCGAAACCATCCCCAGCACACCTCCAGCTGACGCAGAAGAAGCCCTCGCTATCATCGGCAGGCAGGTCGAGGAGGACTTCCTCCTTCTTTTGCCACCACAGCCCTCTTCCCTACAAGATGGTGACAAACAAGAAGGTACTAACAAGCAGATGACCCTCGAAGCCTTCATCGGCTGTTTTCCGAATGGGTTCAACTGGGCAGACAAGTTCCGCAAATCGCTGGCGAGTATCCATGTTCCGGTACCGGATTATACCACCAAGTTGAGGGCGAGTATGGATAGGTATCTTGAGAGGTTGAAGGTGGGGGAGTGTGTGAAGAGGGCGAATGTTTGTGGCACTACTTTCCTTTTGCTCGTTCCATTTTTTTTTACCGATGATAGTTCCGTGTCCTCTGCAATGCTGAAGGGCATATTGTGCTAACGTGATTCCCTTGCTTGATAGTGGACTGTATCCGTGGACGGGAAGCTGCATGCTGCCAGCAGTATGCACCTGTATGAAGGCGAGGAAGTAGTTGAGTTGGAGGAGTTGGATGTGGATACGGTATGTCTTTGCTTCCTTCTCTTCAGTTTCCTTTCCAAGGAAGGGCCACGGTAGAACGTGTTAAGTAATGAGACACGGCATTGCAGGCACGATTACGCTGCGAAAGACAGACGCTATTCAGACTACCCATCTCACAAGCTGTTGGCTTCGTGGTCCGCACATATATGTACCCGTTGCAGGACGTCAAGAAAGAAGGCAATGGGCCGAGGTTAGTCGAGGCGATAGCAGGGTTGAAGGAGGGCAGTTCGCCGGGCTTCCACTTCTACAAGCGCGCAGCGGTGTGGCAGAGGGCTGTGAGTGAGTACTTACTGGATGGGGGAAACGAGGCAGCTGTCGCGGTATGACCTGCGATAGGGGAGTACGGTTGAAGCTTTTGTGTGTTGTGGGACGGAGTCCGTGTTCTTAATGAGATTAATCCAGCGCAATGGCCTTTCTTAGCTCTCACTGTATACATATTCCAAACTCGGATAGTAGACCCCTGAAAATGAGGTAGGTCTATGCACACGTACCATTGATATTAACAAATAGATAGATTCTTTGATTCGAAGCATTGGCCAAACGCTGCCAGAAAAGTGTATAATATATGATATCACATTTCACCCGTCGTATTTCCTGTTTGGAGAGTATTAAGCTGCGGTAGGATCTGCTTTGTCAGGGCAGGAAGCATCTGAAGTAGGCAAGAAATAGCCCTTAAGAACAATGCATAGCTCAGAGATCGACAAAAGGAGCCTACATCCACAGAATAGTTTGCGGAAGGATGCTGTAACATTACGCATGAACTCACAACGCTGAAGAATTATCTGTCTCTCGATCCGAAGCTACCGCTTCCCCAAAAGAGTCATCTATCTATCACAATCCTCTGCTCCTTTTACTTTGCGACATCTACACCACCATGATGATCGAATAGCAATTCCAAGCGCAGCGGTGTACAACTTCAATCATTAACTATTGTATGTCTTTTTGGGACATGTCTCTGCAATAATAGAAGCAATATACCGTTCACAGAGTCTGGCGGTCAACAACATTAACATATTGCATATAATCACCACCAAGGACACAAGAAAACTTACCAGCCACTCCCAATCATGTTCTCTATACCAACACTATTTCTTTCCCCCTTTGCGCAACCTATCCCTATTTTGAAACCATGACCGACGAATACTATCAACCAGTGTTCAGATTATTCCTCCTGAGCGTCACCCAAAACCTAATCCCCCAATCCCTAGCAATTACCACCCCAAAAGGCGCACTCCTGCGCTACTTGTGCGTACCATTCATGATATGGATCTTCAGCTTAATGCTCCACCCAGTCAGAAACCCATCACATGTAACATCCCTATTCGCTACCACCGCTTGGTTCAACATTCTCTCAGCCCTGGAGCTACTGCTACTCAACCCCAAAGAAGCCGACGACTTTGTCACCATCAATGAGGGAACAAGCAAAATCAAGAGCTATTTCTGTGGCTTACGAAACGCCCTGAAACTGCTTTTTAACACCCGGAAAATCAACACGCCCGAGGAAGCAAAGAACACGCCTCCCATGCCGAGATATTACACCCAGAAGAATGGCAAGAATGCATCAAAGCCTATCTCCCAACGCCGGTACCTGATCCGCGAGACGGCGATTGCGATGTGGCAATACCTGGTTCTGGATATTTCGACTTCACAAGCTGTCAAGACAGGTCTGAGCAAAAATGCACAGCAGCAGCAGCAGCAAAATACCAGTGTTGGAGGTTCCTGGGTAGAGCTAAGGATAGAACAAATTATCGTGGCCATAGCCGCTTGGTTCATTGTAGGACGCATTGTGATCGGCTTTACCTATCGTTTAGTTTCGGTAGTCAGTGTTGGCTTGAGGCTAGAAGCACCTGAAGAGTTTCCACCGTTATTCAGTGAAATGGCTGATGCTTACACTTTACGGAATTTCTGGGGG